GATTTAACTAGGATTTGAGCAAAGAAGCTAGATGGTTTCCCCCCACCCCACAAATGGATAATGGGGTTATTTATTTACTGTAGCTATTTGTATGTCACCAGATAATATATTTGACTGAATCACCTCACTTTAAACAATATGGTCCTATTATAACAATCTAGAATTACACTAGAAAATGCTGATACTGTACAATGTCGCATATTTACTTACGAGGTTAGCAGGATTAGTAGCAATAGCACTTAAACTATATACCGCTTCACAGTGCTTTACAGACCTCTCTAAGCTGTTTAGAGTCAGCCTCTTGCCCCCAACAATCTGGGTCGTCATTTTACCCACCTCAGAAGGAGGGAAGGCTGAGTCAACCCCGAGCCTAGTGAGATCTGACCTGCTAAATTACAGGCAGCTGGCAGGCAGCAGTAGCCTGCAGTACTGCACTCTAACCACTGCGCCACTGTATATTAAATACTTAAATACATGAAGAATGTAATAGTGTAATATTCAATACATAAACTATTTTGTAGCTGTTCTCACATACCTTTTTTACTCCTCTGCAAGATTTCATTTGCTTCTTTTAATGTAACTCCTGCAGGAGCTACAACAAGATCTTCCCGTTTGGTCATGATCTACGAAAAATAAAAAACTAAAGTAAGACAAATGTCTTTTCCATTTTGGCTGAGAAAAGCAGCACTGTCTAATAGGGAAATATTTGTCAGTCCAGAGTAATCTAATCTAATATTTCTTATTAGGGAGGAAGAAAGACCTTTCAGTCAGACTTGATACAATTAGCTTAATGCGGAAAGGAGCAATTTACCATAATGGAAGGAAAGTAACTTAATGCCAGACATTACTGTCCTCAAATCACAAATTAGCACAACTTAAAGTAATTGTTTCTATCTGGCTTCTCAACCAGTGTTACAGATCTGTTTCAGACATAACTTCAGATTTAACAGTTCAGTTTCAAAACCACAAGTGAAATACCGTATTTTTCAGAGTATAAGATGCACCAAGATTTTGAAAAGGTAATTTTTAAAAAAGTTTTTGCACTCTGCAGGCCTCCCAAAACCTCTGCATGCCTCATTTTTATGTGAAAAATGGGGCATACAGAGATTTTGAGAGCCCTGCAAAGTCCTCCTGGGGGCTGGGGGACAAAAATGAGCAAAAAAGGGCAGTTTTTTGCGAAAACAGGCCCCAAAAAGATCATGCATAGCCTTTAGGAGGCTTGTAGAGTGCTCCTGGGGGCTGGGGAGGGCAAAATCGAACAAAAAATGGCCTGCTTTTAGCTAATTTTTGCCCCCCCCCCCAGCCTCCAGGAGCACTTTGCAGGCCTCCCAAACCTTCTGCATATCCATTTTTGTGTAGGGGGCAGGGTTTCGGGAGGCCAAAAATTCAGTGTATAAGACCCACCCAGATTTTCATCCTCTTTTTTAGGGGAAAAAGGTGCATTTTATACTCCAAAAACTACGGTAATTCTTAAAAATAAAAGAAAATCCATCAGTAATGTTTTTCACCTCCAATGTCTGTCCCAATCTTATGATTCCATGATTATAAACAATAGCCGCAACATTAGGAAAACTGAAACTAATGCTATTCTGTATTAATCGCTTACAAATCTTATAGGTTGGAACACTATGGAGAAAGTGCTAAAATTAGTTTTTCCTTCTGGAATCTAATTGTTGTTGTAGATGGGCTGTATGTATTAGTGTGTTAAATGGAGAATGTTTAATCACAAGTGCCCCCAGGTACAAACTGAAGCAGTGTAGCCTAGACACAGGCACTCATTCTCATTTGCCTACAGATTCAATGTCGAAGACTGAAGGATTAAGATGTCTGACCTCACAGAAATTCTATTTGGAGCTGTTTCACGGTAATCGGCTGTAGCTTTTCCTTCCCCCGTTTCCATCTTATCAGAAATCCTTTAGAAATGTATTACAGGCAATTTCTGTCTGAACTTTAAATCATGCCATTAGCTGATCTTGGTCAGCACAAATCCCAAAATAGCACAGGGAACCAGAGCCAAGTGTAAGACAGGTTGGAATGCTGCAGAGCTAAAAAAGCCCACATCCAGTTACAGTAGTGACATGGATGCTCGTTCCAAAAGGCTTTTCCCATCAGGCAATGGGAAGACAGTTGGCTGGCCGGACAGGAAAATAGTAACTTGCAAAAACAAAGGCTGTGCTGCATGCTCTCTGGAAAACAGGAGCATGGCTTGGAATAGGCTTTTAGAATGCGGTTGCTGAGGGAAACAAAATACCGCAAAACTAAAAACACATAATATTTAATAGGTCCGTGATGGTGAACCTATGGCATGCCTGCCACAGGTGGTAGATGGAGCCATCTCTGCAGGCACAAGCTGTTGCCCAGATCAGCTCCGCCATACATGTGCACACACCGGCCGCTGATTTTTGGCTGGCCCCGCCCATGCCGCCCCTCCTAGGACTCTCAACCCGGCCCATTGGGGATGCCAGGTAAGTAAACGGGCCTCCTGGAAATCTGGAAATGGGCCGTTACTGGTCTCCGGAGGACTGGGGGAGGCTGTTTTTGTCCTCCTGGAGGCTCCAGAAAAGCCTCCATAGCCTGGGGAGAGCGAAATACAGGCCTACTGAAAGTCCGGAAACGGGTCGCTACCGGCCTCTGGAGGCTTCAGGGAGGCCTACTAGGCCCAAAACGGGGCCTGTGGGAGTCGCATGCATATGCGCGGAGGGGGGGAGAGCATGGGGAGAGCATGGGGAGA